TTATTATACGCAATTATACGTATTATTATTTAGCATCGGTATATGTATATGTTATGTTATACAAATATGTATACGTATGATCAACTAATACACCTGTACATGATCATGATCTTTCACAATATACATGATCATGATCTTTCACAATATTATTAATGGATCAAATTATTCCACCGAATTCATTCTTGTTTACTGATTGAATATTGGAATGAAATTGATACTACAAGCAAATATTTTCTAGAAAAACAGGTTTTTTTGTCACTAATAAAATAAATACATTGATAAGTGCAAAAAGTATTAAAAATTGCCGACATTTGGATTAATTAAATGAGAGAAGAGAAAAAAAAAAGAAAGGGAAGAAGAAAAAAAAACTTGTCAAACATGATAAAAATTTAAAGTGAAATCTGTGATGCAAAAAATAATTTCACGAATACGAATACAAATTCTGATTTCATTTCGTTTTTTTTTCGTCATCTCAATTCCTTTTTTTTTTTAATGCATCAATGCATTTTTATTAACTACCACAAATCATATCAATGAAAGAAATGTGAAAGAAAAAATTTTTAATATTTTTATTTGTGGAATTTTGATTTCAATACATTATTCACATTAAAATATTATTCTTCCACATGTCATATATAGTCGTTCAACTTTTTTCCTTTTTTTTAAAAAATAAAAATAAAATTTAAATTGTAAATTTTGGTATTTTAATTGACTGGAAATAAAATACAATGAAGATTTTTCCAGTGAAATGAAATTTATACCTTTTATTGTAAACCATATAAACATATAATATTTCATGCATTGCAAGACTTACCTGTAATAGTTCAATATAGAGAGTGACAAATTGTTTATAGTAATTAATTGCATCATTTGTAATTAAATTTATTAACATTAGATAATTTTGACATGCTTAATTAAATATTCAACATGTACAAATAAAATAAACTCAAATGCAAACGATCTTTCAAAAATAAGATAATAAAAAAAAAACATTTCAAAGTTCAAATTTCTAATTGTAATTTTATCAAAGCATTTAATTTCATCATCTTTAGCCACTCTCTGTAACTCTTAAATTATTTGTCGTAAAAAAATAATCTATGCATTTTAGTTAAATTAGTCAAATGCATTTCATTTATGAATTGATGGCAGCGTCAGTCAATTTTTCAACGTAATAATTGTTAAATATCACAGATTTCATTTCTAACTCACAATGCTTACTTTTGTATTTATTTAGTTTAATTTTAATTAATTCTGTGAACATTTGAAAAATTTGTGATTTTCAATAAATGCAAAATATTAGCGAACAAAAAACAAAAAAAAAAGATGGTGATAGTAAAAATTTGATGCAAACCTTGATGATGAGGAACATGGTGGCATCGTTGGTGCACATTGCATCATTGCTGCTGGTGGACAACATTGTGCACCACCACCAAAACAGGCATTTGTAGGCTTAATTATAATGATGAATTTTATCATCAATTGTAGTGCCAATTGAGTACCACTACGACTGATACCATTATCATAACCAATACTTATCATAGTAAGCCAATAATTGTTTGTCACTTTTCCTCAGGTAAACAACAAAACAAACAACAGCCACAATACAGGCTGTAAAACACAGATCCAATTCAACCCTATTACTGAAACTGAGACGAGCAAGAATCCTTTTCTAAGATGTCCACACCCTCTTCGCTCTCTTAACCAGCTGTTAAAATCCGGAATACCCTAAGGCGGTAATCTATAGTTGTGTCTCCGCCCGATAACATCAATCTTGACAATGACCGCAATTATAAATCAAAATGGTAACAAAGGTAGCTAATATTATTATTACTAATAATATTACTACCACTACTACCACTACTACTACTACTACTACTA